TACACATATATATATATATGTGTATCTATGTAGAATGATGTGTATGTACATGTCTATATATATATAGTGAGAGAAGGATGGGGACAACCCCGACTGTACGCAGCAGGTCCTGTACTTAACAAAATGACAGAATAATATAGTGTGTACCGACATTTCTTTCCCAGCGACTGCGCTGTTTGCTCACCTCGTTCAATGTACATTTCGACTGACTTGGTCTGAGCATATTCCTGGCACCCCTGCCCCCCTCCCCCATCAACGTCCCTTGTCCACTCTACGCTTGGCTTCTGCCCTGTCTGCCACCCGAAGGGGTCAAGACCCTGGTGCTGGTGAGCCCGCATCACCATGCGCCCTCTGCCTTCAATGCCACCGTCATCCCCTCTGTCATCGCGCAGTTGCCTCTGCTGCTGACTCTCTCGGAAGCGGCGTCGCCGAAACGACGCCCGCCGCCTCGGAGGAGGGCGCCGCCGTCGAGGGAGGAGGAGGAGGAGGAGGAGGAGGAGGAGGAGGAGGAGGAGGAGGAGGAGGAGGAGGAGGAGGAGGAGAGGAGGAGGAGGAGGAGGAGGAGGAGGAGGAGGAGGAGGAGGAGGAGGAGGAGGAGGAGGAGGAGGAGGAGGAGGAGGAGGAGGAGGAGGAGGAGGAGGAGGAGGAGGAGAGTGAGACAACGGTGGCGATCCCTCTCGGCCCCGATCTGCTCAACATCCACCTCGGGACGCCTCCCAGGGCCCACCCTGGGCAAGTTTTCCGCGGCGGATCTGGCCGTGGCAACGAGAGGAGGAGGAGGAGGAGGAGGAGGAGGAGGAGGAGGAGGAGGAGGAGGAGGAGGAGGAGGAGGAGCAGGAGGAGGAGGAGGAGGAGGAGGAGGAGGAGGAGGAGGAGGAGGGGGAGGACGAGGGAGGAGGAGGGAGGAGAAGGGAGGAGGAGGAGGAGGAGGCCTCCAGCAGGCCCAGCAAGTATATCCGTAGCAGAGTGGAGGAACACGCGAGGGCCGCCGTTGCCTCGGCTGGCACGAGGGGGCGGGGAGAGCCCTGGTGGGGGTCGCCAAATCTTGCTCAGGGACCGACCGTCCCGGCACTCCTGCAGGGGCCCTGGGACACACACATAAATACACACAAATAAAACTATACCCCATATTTTCCCATATGTTCTTTGTTTTTGTCTTCCCCCCACTTCCCATATTTTCCCATATTTTCTGGGGAATCGACGATTAATTGTGTCTGTGTGTTTCTTTCCCTCCTGAACTCCTATAGGCCTACTACGAGCCGTTCTACGAACCCACACATGTTCGAATAAGGGAAGCATTGTTCTCAGAACGTGAGCCTGATGCACTGTTGAAGCAGGACGGGCCCGGCCAGAAGTGTTCTGAGAACACTCCGTGCCGACCACAAGCGGTTCTTAGGACATTCTTTGGTGGGCCCATATGGGCAGGCCAGTACGCTTCGCCACTGCTCGAGGGAAGGCGTAGGTCGGGCATGTCCCCCTACAGGCCGATTCTGGACGAGAAATGAAACACCCCCCCCCCCGAAAGAATACCACAGACATAATCAACCACGGCCAAAAACACATCGTCCCCAGATCCTTCTTATCCTATGTTTGGAGTCTCGTCCCGTGGAGGGACGGGCTCGCGCCGCACCGCCGCTGCGCCCGCCCTCTCGGCGGCGCGTCGGCGAGGCTTCGCTGGCCCGAGGGCTTCCGACGCCTCGTCGGCCGCACGACGCCGACGCCGACGCCTCGTCGGCGCGTGCGCCGCCCGCCGACCCCCGGGGGGCGTCGCAAGGGGGAAAAACCCCGGCGGGGGGCCGCCCGACCGCCCGCTCGCCGGGCGCCAGGCCGGGCACGATGCAGGCGTACTTGCGCTCGCCCCGCCCCATCTCCTGGCGGGGGCGGGCCGCGGCAGCCCGGCCTTCCTCCTCGGCCCGCAGCAGGATCACAAGCAGCAGCAGGAGCGCCCTCCTCCTCCTCCTCCTCCTCCTCAGCAGCAGCAGCAGCAGCAGCAACAACATCACCATCATCACTATCAGCAGCACCATCATCAACGACATCAACGGAATCATCACCATCAACATCATTGTCGTCATCATCGTCATCATCACCGCCATCATCATCAGCATCATCAGTCCCAACATCAAAATCAGCATCACCATCATATCATCACCACCCTCGGAGCCCCCGCAGCACAGGTCTCCTCCACCAAAAACCGCACCGAGTAGAGCTGGCACGCCAGAAAGAAAGACCAAAAGAACAACAACAGAAAAGAAGAGGCGGAGCGGAATAATAATGAATAAGATCGAAAGACATCGTAAGACGAAGAAGAAGGAGAAGAAGAAACTTGATAAGCATATACCTTCGGAGCTCCGCGCGGACTTCTGGGATCGGCGCTGGACCCCCGCCTCATCCCTGGCACGCGGACTGCATGAGGGGTGGCGGCGGAGGCGGTTCCAGCGGGGTCCAGCGCCGATCCGAGAGATCCGCGCGGAGCTCCGAAAATTTATGCTCATGCAGTTCTCTCTTACCTACGCTTAGCCTGAAGGGGCCTCTCTCGCTTTTGACGACAAGCGGTTGGCGCGAGGCCTGACTACTGGCCGGCCTTCTTCGGGTTCCTTCGTCCTGGTTCCTTCATTACTTGGTTCAATGCTGCCTTCCTGGGGTTCCTTGGTATTGGTTCCCTCGGTGCTTGATTGTTTGACATTGGTTACTTTGGCTCCTTGGTCTCTTGGTTCCTTGGCTCCTTGGCCTTGCTTCACTCGTTCCTTGGTTCCTTAAGCTGGGTTCCCTCGTTCCTTGGCTCTTTGCTCTTGGTTCCTTGGCTCCTTGATCTGGGTCCCTTGGTTCCTTGGTCTGGGTGCCTTGGTTCCTTGATGCTGACTCCGTGTTGCCTCGCCACGTAGTGCCAAGCAATGCCAGGCAAGGCCTCGCGATGCCATGCAATGCCGAGCAATGCCCAGCAATTCGCCATGCAATGCCCAACAATGAAAAATCATGCCACGAAATTAAAGGCGCCCATTGACACGCAGATGAATACACACAAATCCCAGGATTCCCAATCTCTTTACATATTTTCTGGGTTTTCGTCTTCCCCTCCACTTCCCATGTTATCCCATATTTTCCAGGAGATCGACGATTAATTGAGTCTGTGTGTTTGTTTCTCCTCCTGAGAAAATGCGCCCATGCAATAAGACACTTTCCCGTAGTAGGGGCCGAGCCAGATGCTTTCCGTCTTCGGTACGGAGGTCGCGCCGACCATCATCTCGAGACACGAGGTCGATGAAAGAAAGTATCATCATTGATTTGATCAAGACGGGCTGTCGGTCTCTCGGCGGCTGCACAACATCATTGGAAGGCATTTCTTGTAGCGCTGATCTACGATTTCGTATTCAATCTCCGGGGTGCGGGGGGCAGATCTGAAGCTTCAGATAATTACACGATTCGGCTCGGAAATCTGGGGAATCAGGACCACACCGACCAATTGTTTCGTGCGCGCCAACTAGCTGATCAATGCCGAATCGCGAGCGTCAAAGGCAGAGCATGAGGAAACCAAGAGGTACCGATAATGGTACTTCGCAAACCTCTTCCTGGGGTGCGCTCGGACCAGAGCTTCGAGGCCAGTCCAACCCAGCAGCGGTGGCGACGTGGGCATCTCAGGAGGCCCCAAGCGCCGAAAACGAGGACAGGGCTAGCAGCAAGCAGCCCTGCTCGGGGCCTTTGCCCTGGTCTCTGCCGAGTGACAAAAACGCCAGAAAGATAAACCTTCTGAGGTCTTCGCAGATTTCTTGAAGGGGCCCTAGGACACACAAATAAATACACACAAACAAACATATTCCCCATCTTTTCCAATATTTGTTGGGTTTCTGTCTCCCCCCCACTTCACATATTTCCCAATCTTTTCTCGGGAATCAACGATTAATTGTGTCTGTGTGTTTTTGCCCTCCCGATTTCTTGGATGGGCGCTGGACCCACCTGCCTGCCGCGCCGAGTGCGCCAGGGGCGGCGCCGCCGGAGCCCATCCGAGACGTCTGCTCGGAGCTCCGCAGAGAGAGAGGCTTCTGCAGCACCTTGCCCCTCGGCCCTGCGCTCAAGTCGGGCCTGTCCCTCTACAGGAGGGAGAATATCCAAACAGAGTTCAAACACAGCCTGGGGACAATGTTTTGACCATTGTGGGGCATCTCGGGGGCATTTCTTCAAAGTATTCTAAAACATCATCGCCCAAAATCTCCCTGTAGGGGGCCAGGCCCGACCCAGCCCTGCGCCTACAGGCTCGAGCGGCCCAGCAGCGCGTCGCCGCCCGGGCCCGGCGCCCCCGCCCCGCCGCCCGCGGGCGCCGGCCCCGGCTGCGGGCCCTCCTCGCGCGCCGCCGCCCGCGGCGGCGCGCCCGCGGCCCCGCCGCCGCCGCCGCCGGCCGCGGCCTGCGGCGGCTCCCGCGGCGGCAGGGCGGCGGCGGCGGCGCCGCCGCCGCCGGGCGGCGCGCCCGCGGCCCGCGCCGGCCCCTGCGGGGAGGAGGAGGAGGAGGAGGAGGAGGAGGAGGAGGCGGAGGCGGAGGAGGAGGAGGAGGAGGAGGAGAGGATCGGCGGCGGCGGGGCCGCCGCCGCCGGCGCGCGGGCGGCGTCGGCGCCGGCGCGGGGCGGCGCCGCCGCGGGCGGGCGGTGCGGCGGCGGCGCGCGGCGCGGCGAGGCCGCCACGGCGAGGTCGGGCATGGCCCCCTACAGGCGGCTTGTGGGCGACAGAATGGAAGAAAACATAATCGTCCCCAGACTATTTTTTGGTTTTCTTGAATGTTCCTCTTTTGAGTGCTCCTGTCGTCGAGGGAGTGTTATATATTAGGATCCCATATTTTCTTCCTCTTGAGTGCTCCTTGAATGTTCCGACTTTTCCGTTTTTTTGATAGTCTTGAATGCTCCTCCTGTGGAGGGACAGGCCCGACTTCTGGCAGCGGGCGGGGCGCCGGGCGCCGGCGGCGGCTCGGCCTGCGCGGCGGCCTCGCTGCCCTCGCGCGGGCCGCGGGAGGCCCGCAGCCGGGCAGGCGCGGCCAGCGGCGGCGCCTCGGGGCCGCGCTCCTCGGGCGGCACCGCGGGGGTGTCCTCCCGTGGGATGCGCTCAGGTCGGGCGTGTCCCCCTACAGGGAGATCTTCGACGACAAACAAGAAATGATCGAACAAGATCCCAGAATGGTCAACAACATACTCCAAAAATAGTCCTCGGACTATTCTTGGACTATTTTTGGAAATTCCCGCTGTAGAGGGACAGGCCCGACGTAAGGATACTCTTTTGGAGGCCTCCTAGAGGGGTCCGAGCAGATGGGGTGGGTCGGAGGATCTCGCCGCATCGCCGATGCATCTGCAGTGCATCGCCGCACAACCGATGCCTCGGCGACGTCGGCGATGCATCGGCGACGTCGGCATCGGGAAAGTTGGGCTCCACATCGAGCCGCATCGGCTACGCATCGGCGATGCGGCGCGATCCTGCAACCCCATCTACTCCGACCCCATCTTGGACCTAGTTCTTTGGTTGCAACTCCTGGGAGGTCTTCCTACTGAGCTCGACCAAGGGACCACAGAGCCAGAGTGGGCTGGATTGAGCTCTTGATTCCACCAGGTTGGGCAAGGATGAGCTGGATGAAAGTGAACCAAACTGGATTAGGCGGGACTTCCACCAAAGATTGTTACCAGCCCCGATTCAGAGTTTTATACCTCCCAGGACTTGCAATCTGCTTAGCGGGGGGCAGCACATATAGGGGAGGCATGAGCCCTTCCTGGCGAGCTTCGCCAGGTCGCGGCAGGGCGCCAGATACCGAGCACTTCGCACCTCTCGACGCGTGTCCCTGCTCGGGCGTCCGTTTGCCAGGGGGGGATAGCAGACGTGGGGTGCCGAAGCGTGCGCCTCGCCGTGCCAATCTCCGGTCCGCGGCGGCCGTGGACAGGCGCCGTGCGGGGCCCCTCTGTGAGGCCACGTTCCCGCAGCTCCTCCTCGACCCCCTCGCGCTCTTCTCACCCCCGCTTGTTGGCGCTCGCTCGCTCCTCCTCGCAGCGCTCCGGGAGGCCCCGGCCCGCCATGTGGAGCACCGCCAGCTGCGCGTAGGATCTGCACTCCTCGGAGGCGCGCACGCGGTACATGTCCGCGAAGCCCGTGCTGCTCAGCCCGCCTTCGTCCCGCTCCGCCCTGCCTCTGGAGGAGCAGCACACTGGCGCCGACTGCGACAGTGTTGGGCGCCCGAGTTATCCGGGGTAACTCGGGTCCGGGGTAAGTCGGGTTTGGATTCCCGAAAAAGGAACCCGAGTTAGCCCTGACCCGAGTTACCCCTGATGCTTCGGGGCTCTGGACGCCCGAGTTGTCCGGGGTAACTCGGGTCCGGGGTAACTCGGGCTTGGATTCCCGAAAAACGAACCCGAGTTAGCCCTGACCCGAATTACCCCTGATGATTCGGGGCTCTGACAGTGGCTCTTCTGCGCCGGACCATACATGTTTGAACTCCCTTCGGCCCTCGCTCCAGCGCAGTACGGTGCACAGTTTTGGGGGTCTGAGAGCCGGTGATCTCTGCACCGTGCCATTCCTGGGTCGAAGATCGGCATCGCTTCGGGGGACGCCAGCGCGGGACGGTGCATACATCGTTGCAGGGGCCCTGGGACACACAAATAAATATTCACACAAATAACAGGATTCCCCATAGTTTCAAATGTTTTCCTGGTTTTTTGTCTTCCCCACACTTCCCATATGTTCGCATATGCTCCTAGGAATCTGCGATTGATTGTGTCTGTGTTTTTTCCCTCCTGAGACGTTCCTGGGTCGACGACCGATATCGTTTCGGGAGACGCCGGCGCGGCACGGTGCATACATTGTCACATTGTCCGCGGATGAACGGTTGGACTTAGCTCGCGGACGCGCAAACATGGATTAGCGACCCGTGGATTTGGTGCGCGGTCGCCAAATCCATGGATCGGGGGAGGTGCCCTCCCCAAAATGCGGTCGGTGCCGCCTCGTTCGGCGGCGGGAATCCGCGATTGCCCATGGAAGCGGGACCCGTTGCTAATCCAAGCCCCCAGGATCCATGTTTGCGATCGCCTGATTAGCTGCCCTGATACGCACCACAGGGCTGAACCTGAACGGTGTTTGTCGTATTCGTTTTGCTTTCGATTTCCTTCGCTTTCGTCTCGAACCCGCCTTTACCGCAAACCGAAGTCGAAACGAAAACGGCCCACGGAATCACCAGAAACACCGTTAGGTCCAACCCTGACGCAACATGGAGCCCGCAGCGCGTTGACGCGGAGCCCCAGCACGTGCACTTAAAAACACAAGCCCGGCGCGGTGCGCTCGCCAGACCGGGGGCCAGCACGTGGTGCGCCAGCGCGCAGCGTGCTGGACTCGGCCGCTGCGTCTCAGCACGGGCGTACCAGGGCAACTGTGCGGAACTCCGCGCGGATGTCTTGGATTCGCGCTGGGTCACCCTGGCGACGCCTCCAGCGCCGCCCCCTTGCGCGCTCCTCGGTGCCAGCGCCGATCCCAGAAATCTGTGCGGGCATCCGAAGGTTTGTGTTTACGCAGTGCTTTCTTCGTCGAGCCTTCGGACGCGACCAGGATGGACAGCAACCGACTGTTGAGGTCCTCTTGCAGCTGCTCGATCCTGATATCGTTGCAATCCACGCCAAAAGGATTATCTAACTCGCGGGCAACCAGGTGCAGAATGAGGAACGTGAAGACCAGTATGAAAGTCGGTCGGCTCCCCCTTTGCTGGGGATGACCAATGCGGGGTGGGATGTTTGGCTGTCCTGTGTCCCCCTTGCCCTTCCCCTGCCGGGTCTGCATTTTGGACGCCCGAAATGGGTACGGGAAAAATGGGTGCAGCGCCCAACAACAAATGTTGCCCCAAACCATCAGCAGCCGCTGTTGGGCGGGCGGCCTTCTGTTTCAAATGGGGAGAGGCCGCAGCGGCGCGGACAGCGAGCCCTGTCCAAAATGGACAGGAGCTGCTGTCTGGCATCGTACCCATTCTTTCCTTACCCATGTCAGTCGTCCTGATGCATGGGGGGGGGTCGTGGAGGAATGGTGCACGAGCTCCCTGGCGCATCGAAACACCGCTGCCCCCCGAAACGCCCGCTGGAATGGCTCGAGAGAGGCTCCAACACGCCGGAGAGGCCGCCAGAACAGCCGAGATGGCCAGATGGCCTCTAGACGGACAGGGAGGCCTGGAAGACACCCCCCCAAAAGCAACAAAAAACACATACATATATATATATATAGCAATATACATAGACACATTGTTATCTTTACCTTATACATCTATTTATTGTGTGTCGAATTAATCCCACCATGTCGGAGCTCCGCCGAGACGGCCCAAGGCCACCCCAAGAGCGGCCCAAGGCGGCCGAGGCGGCCCCCAAAAGGTCCCGACGGTGGCCGCAGAGGGCCCCCCACACTGACCGAGAGGCCGCCAAGACGGCCAAAAAGGCCTTCAAGACAGTCCTACGAGGGCCTAGACAAGCCCAAGAGGTGGAGCTGGTAGGGCCTTTGGAGCCTTTTTCCACAATATGGCCCCACGACGCGCAACGTGCCCCAAGGATGACCCCAAGAGACCACCAAGAAGGACTCAGAGGGCCCCCCAAAGCATGCAAGGTCAGTGGAAAAGATCCCAGGAGGCCGCCACTGATGCCTCCGAAAGGCCCCCACAACGCCCCACACAACACGCGGAGGAAGAGGGGGGCAAGCCAGCAACGGCTACATGAGGGCAACACGACGGGACGCTGACATCGGGGGGGTGCGCATACCTCATTGGGAGCCGGCGGAAGGGCGTAAGCATCTCGAGTGGCAACTGCTGCCTGAAGGGGTCCCCAGGTCCAGTGCGCCATGTATAGAGGAGTAAGCACGGCGTGAATGAACAACAAGCACCTGGCAGACATGACATACGGAGCGGGAAAGGGTACAGCCTTGAATGTTCTTACCTCGTTGAACTTGATCATCGCGTTGCCAAATTCTTGAAAAACACGAGTGAGCAGCGGGGCTGGTATGGTCAGCGTGTCGGCGGAGATGGCGTCGACGATGGCGCTGTACGTAATGTGGCATACTGCCTCTGGCTTATTGTCGGAGGAATGCACCCTGTCCATCACCTCCTGTTGGCGGCGCGCAAAAGGGGGTAGGGGGAGGGGGGAAGGCTTCCTAGAAGCACCCTGCTTCTTAGAAGGCCTCGGCCTCACATCTATGGAGAAGGCCCCGCGCCTTCTAAGAGGCAGGGGTGCTTCTAAGAGGCCTTCCCCCCTCCCCCTACCCCCCTCTGCGCGCTGCCGATCCTGGTCAATGCCCATGACGTCTATCAGTTTGAACCCGAGCCCCTTCTCGGAGTCGCCCTCCTCCACCTCTGCCACGCTCACTGCGAAGAGGAGGCTCACCAGGCGCACGATCGAGCGCTTAAAGTCGCGCACCTCTGAAGGGGAACTGGGACACACAAATAAACACACACACACACACAAATAACCAGATTCCCCATATTTTCCCATATTTTCTGGGTTTTTGTCTTCCCCCACACTTCCCATATTTTCCCATATTCTCCTGGGAGCCGACGATTCATTGTGTCTGTGTGGTTCTTTCCCTCTTGAACCTCCCCGGGTCCAGACTTGGCAGTCCTTGCGAAGGCAAAAAGCAGATTCGTCAGCTCGGTGAGCTCCCCGACGACGGTGTGCAACATCTCGGCGCCGTGCATCAGTCGCTGGTAGGCGTGGGACGTGTGCAGGACGACGAAAAAGGCGAGCAGGAAGCAGAAGGTTTTGTACACCTCGTTGTCGGGCAGCACCTCCTCCAGGGGCAGCGCCGCCTCCGCGTGCGTGTCCAGCAGCTGGACGCCGCCCGAGAACAGCCCCGAGAGCGCCGAGGCGCGGCAGGCCTGGACCACCGAGGCCTGGCCGAGGACGCTGCGCACCCCGACGAAGCCCGGAAGCGGGCCCTCCCGCTGCCGCTGCCACCACGAAGCCCTGCGTGCCATCCGCTCGCCCGACCGCGGCGAGGAGGCCGCTCGCGGGGCGGCACGGCGCCCGAGAGGCCTCTGGACAGAGAGGCCCTGGGCAGAACCGGCGGAGGACGCACACCGGTCTCGGGAGGAGAACCGCCCGCATCCGGAGTGTCGGATGTCGGCGGCGAGCGAGGCGGGGAAGTGGGGATGAGAGGGCCTTCTCAAGAGGCGGGGGGACTTCTCCGAAGCCCTCGCGCCCATTAGAACATTTCTGTTACGTAGAAAACACTTCTCAGAAGGCCGGGGGACTCCCGAGCCTTCTGAGAAGACCCGCCCCTTCTCACTTCCTCCCCTCGCTCGCCGTCGACTTTACGAGAGAGAGGCCCTGAGCAGAAACAGCTGAGGAACCACAGCGATCTTGGGATGAGAACCGCTCGCATCCAATGTGCCAGAAGACAGCCCCTTAACCGTCGACTCGCCTGGGACGTGCCCTGGTAAATCAAGTGCATGAGCGCGCCAACAAGGCCGACCGAAATCAGCACAGGCAAACCGACCAAGACATTGATTCATGGTGCTTCTCGTCGTCGCCATTACCGCCGTCGTCGCCACAGATAGCCGTGGTAGTCGCGGTCGTGGTTGTGGTGGTGGTGGTCGTGGTCGTGGTCGCCATTGTCGTCGTCGTCGTCATCGTCATCTTCCTTCTCCTACTCTAGGAGCCTCGCTGACAGCACAGCAGCATCAGGAAAACACGCTATCGCGCTGGGACCCGCACGTCCGCCAGCTCCAGACGGAGGGCGAGGGGCGAGGGACTGCCACGGCCCTCGCGGGGGGGTCTGACAAGGCGCGGTGGAGCAGCCCCCACGGTGCGGGGTACTTTGAGGCGCCTGCGCCGTGCACAACGGACAAAAACTGGGCTCTAGTTGGAGGGCGAGGGGCGAGTGACCGCGAGGGCCCTCGCGGGGGGCTCTGACGAGACGCGGCTGCGCAGCCCCCGCGGTGCGGGTAGGTCGAGACGCCTGCGCCGTGCACAGCGGGCCAGGGCTGGCTCAGCGCTGGCTGGACAAAGGGACCCCTGGGGACACCAAGAGGTACCGATACCGCTGCTCCCCGGACCTCGCCGGGGGTGCGTTCTGACCAGGATCTCGAGGCGAAGCCGGCGGTGGCGACGAGGGCCGCCCAGAGGAGGCCCAAAGACGGGAAAACGGGCGGGGGGTAGAGGTATGGGCACCATTTCTGGGCGGCGCGCACAAGGGGGTGGGGGGAGGGGGGAGGGCTTCTGAGAAGGAGGCTGCTCCTTAGAAGGCGCCGGCCTTTATCACATCTACAGATAAGGGCCGCGCCTTCTAAGAAGCAGGGGTGCTTCTAAGAAGCCCTGCCTCCTCCCCCTCCCCCCACCCCCCTCTTCGGGAGCGGCCAAGAGGGGGGTGTCCAAGAGGGGGGGGTGCAAATCATGACCGGCGGCATGTGCGCGGCCCAGCGGGGGGGCCAGGGACGTAATGAAATAAGAAGAAGCGCCATGGAATCTTGGGAAATATCATGGCCCGCGCCATGATATCCACCCCCCCCTAGTCATCACCCCCCTCTTTTCCGCTCCCGACCTCTGCGCGTGGCTGATTTTCCTCCTCCGAGCCCGGGGTCTCTCGCGGCAGGCGGGCGGCCGGCAGCGAGCAGCAGGCGCGGGCCGCCCCGCGGGCAGAATCGCGAGGGGCGGACCGTGCCAGGGCCCTGCCGATCGGCCTTGGTGGGCACGTCCCATGGGCCAGCCGTCCCGCGCTGCAGGCGTCGTGCCTCCTTGAGAAACGCTGGACAACAGGGCTGAACCTCAACGGTGCTCTTCGTTTTCGTCTTGCTCTCGTTTTCCCCCGGGTTGCCTTCAGTCCGCCCTGACCGCGAAGCGAGGTCGAAACGAAAACGGCCCACGACATCGCCAACACACCGTTCAGGTCCAGCCCTGCTGAATGAGGAAGGAATGGGGCTTGTCTGGCCACGGCGAGCCTCGGCCACGAACGGGTCCCCGAACAGGCTCCACGACTCAGAAAGCTCAAGAGCGGCCAGGACGCAAGAGCACCTCCTGAGCCAAATGTGGTCCTTGCTTCAGCGTCTTGACTGTTGTCCTTGTGCCTGGTGGACTGCGGGGCACCAGAATGCCAGACGCCGAGCGCAAGTTAGCTACCCCACCTCGGGGAAATAAACGTGCGGAGAGAAACGTGCACCGTTCCATCACCTTTTCGGACCGCGGTTGCAAGTTAGGAACCGCTGAGGTCCGTCCCCTTTAAGGCCTCTTTCCTGCAATTCTCGAACTTCCTCCCCCCTTTGAACCATTGTGCTATTCCTCTGGCCCCGCCACCCCCGATCCCCTGGCACTCCCAGACGGCGCCGGCGCGAATCGTGACGTCACCTGCCCCTCCCCCTCCCTGGCAACGCCCGTTGTCGCCTCGGGGGTGCAACCAATTTCTGCTTGCTGCCCCACCGCCACCTAACGTTAAGTCTGGCGTGCCCCCCTACAGGCGGATTTTGGACGACTGATAAAAACACAGTCCAAAAATGCCCCCCCCACAAATCAAGAAGACTCAAAACAATCGTCCCCAGGCTATTTCTCTACTATTCTTGCCTCCTCCTACCGACTTAACGTTATTGAGCGCGCAACCGGCGCTGGCCAAAGCAAAGAGCCCCCAGACTCGCTGGACAGCCTCTGGCGTGGAGCCGCCGAGGCGCTCGTCCGCGCAGGCGGCGGTGCTCTCTCGGCCGTGCGCTCGCGCCGGCCCAGGCTCCGCTTCCCCCAGGGAGAAGGGGGGCCTGCCCAGACTGCAGCACCTTGCCGTCGCTCGGACGTCCATTCCCCGTGCGTTTTGTCGGTCTCGTGCGTGTTTTTTGTTGCTCGATGGTCCAGGATGGTCCTCGATGGCTCTCGCCGAGGAAACACGCACGCGTCCGAGCAATGCCAAGGCAGAGGCAGGATGGTGAGCGTTTGTTTTACGTCTTCGGCGTTCCGACCTTGGGCAGAAGGGGTTGAGCAGGGACCGATCGTCCCGGCATTCCTATAGTCATACCACGAAATGTTCTTAGAGCCTAAAAATGTTCTAAAAACAAAAACAATGTTCTTAGAACATAGACCCGATGTGTTAAAACAAGACAGTCCCAGCCAGAAATGTTCTAAGAACATTTCGTGGGAACCACACAAGGTTCTCAGAACATTGCTTGGTGGGGCAATAGGTGAGCCGGAACGCTTCGCCACTGCTTGAAGGGGGGGGAGTCTGGCTCTGGACCTCTGCTTCGTGCGGCTGCCTGGAGCCGTGCGCCCTCTGCAGGGGGAGACCCCGCCGGCTCGAGACGGGCGCCAAAGACAGCCAAGATCTACTCTTAAGTCGGGCGTGTCCCCCTACAGGGGGATTTGCGACGAAAAACTAAAAATACCCCAAACATACCCAAAAAAGGTTTCAAACAATAGTCCTCAGATTATTTTTGGAGTATTTTTGGAATATGTTTGGATTTTTGATCTTTCGTCGAAAATCCCCCTGTAGGAGGACAGGCCCGACATAAATCTACTCCATGGGGGGGGAGGGGAAGAGGGGGTGTGCGGGGCCCGCGCCGGTCGGCAAAACAGTGAATGAAGAAACGATCACACGAAGATCGGTGCGGACGAGGTCACATCGGGCATCTCTGAGCGTCGGCGAGCATGGAGGATGGGGGATGGAGGAGGAGGAGGAGGAGGAGGAGGAGGAGGAAGAGGAGGAGGAAGAGGATGCGGAGAGGAGGAGAGGAGGAGGAGGAAGAGGAGGAGGAGCAGGAGGACAAGGAGGAGAAAAGGAGGAGGAGGAGGAGGAGGAGGAGGAAAAGGAGGAGGAGGAAAAGGAGGAGGAGGAGGAGGAGGGGGAGGTGGAGGAGCAGGAGGAGGGAGGAGGAAGAGGAGGCGGAGAGGAGGAGGAGGAGGAGGAGGAGGAGGAGGAGGAGGAGGAGGAGGGGGAGGAAGAGGAAAAGAAGGAGGAGGAGGATGTCTCGGGCGCCGTGGCCGTTACAGGGCGATCCGGAACGCTCTCGAGCCGCTGTCTGGCCGACAGGTGGAGAAGGGAACGCCCTGGAGCTGTTCGTCCTCATCCTGTGCCTGGCATAGTGGGCAGAAAATCCACCCCGACAATAACCACCCCGACGCGCGAAGCCGATTAGTAAACGCACCCAAAGAAGGAATCAAACAGGGCAGGGCTGTTTAGTAAACGCCCAGGTCCGTTTAGTAAGCGCCAATTGTCCAGTCAGGGTGTTTTTCCTCCCTTGATGACAGATGGACAGGAAACGGAAGGTGCCAACTATTGAGCAGGGACCGACCGTCCCAGCATTGCTGTAGTTGCTGTAGGCCTACCACGACACGTTCTCAGAAGTACAGAATGCTCTACTCAGGACCAGAATGTTCTGAGAACATGCGCCCGAGGTGTCCAAGCAAGATGCTCTCCGCCAGACATGCTCCAAGACCTTTTCGCGGAGGCCACAACAGGTTCGTGTATGCTCTGGTGGGCCTGAAGGCCCGGGGCCTGGGCCGGCGCGGCGGCTCCCGGGGAGGAGGAGGAGAGGGAGGAGGAGGAGGAGGAGGAGGAGGAGGAGCAGGAGGAGGAGGGGGAGGAGGAGGAGGAGGAGGAGGAGGAGGAGGAGGAGGAGGAGGAGGAGGAGGAGGAGGAGGCCAGGACGCTTCGCCACTGCTTGATATACACATGCGCCGAGGGGGGCGAGGCCGGTCCTGGGCCCACGATGGGTGCACGCACCCTTCCCGCCGCTCCTCCCGGATCGGGCCCTGCGGCGCCGGCCAGCCAACACAGCGAAGGGGGGGCGTGGCATCAAGCACGCGGCACTCCTCTTGCTGCTGCTTGGCTGGCGAGTTCGAACTTCTGAGGAAGCGTACGTCCCTGTGTTGACCCTGACCCTGGAGACGGAGGGAACTTCCCAAACCCAGACTGCATACGGCAAGTTCGTGTCGTGCCGACCCCAGCGTTGGTTTTTGACACCGCAGGGATCGTTCAACCTTGAACGATCGGCCGCTGCCGCAA